CAGTACTGAAGTATTTGTGTAGCTGGTTTAGAAAGCTCAAGGCGTGTTGTGCAGCTTGTTTATCGCTCTGTAGTCGTAACAGTGAGATGCTGGACTTACCCCTAATCCTCCCTTATCCCTCCCTTTTCCTCCCCCAAGAGGCATGGCAAGTTTCCCAGGTCTTGAACTATGGCAGAAGCGGGTTTTCTCAGACTGCATTTTCAATGAATGCCATTCACAATGGAAATACCATTCACTGAAGATAATACAGAATATTAAGAATTTAATATTGCTTCTTTTGTTAGTTATAGCATCAGGGGCAGGGGCAGGTTCAGACTGACAGATAGGTATGAAATTAAATTTGTGTTTTAAACCGTAAATCTTAGAGCTGTAAGTTAAACATTAGAGTTTAAACTTTTGTTTCTTTATTTTAACAGACACACACACAGGCGCACACACACACACACACACGCATATATTGTCTCTATATATTTGTATGTATATGTGCATGTGAGTGTGTGTCTAGCACATGAACACTAAAATATGTATTTCTGACCCTTAGAGTAAGTCACTGGTTGCTGAAGATGCAGTGGGCTGCCCCGCGGCGCAGCGGGGACCGAGCAGGGCGATTCTCGCGCGAACCGGCAGAGCCGCTGCTTGACGAAAGCTCCCAGCGCTGCGTTTGGACAGCTACCGTTGTGTGTGCCTTGCTGTGCTCACGTTACTCCTGTGGACTTTTGATTTCTTAGATCAGAAGGGAGGATAAGCTGTGAAGGTGTTTTTTTTTTTTTTTTTAGCAGCCAGTTTCCTTGTGGCATCATGAAATGCCACTAGGTATAGATAGATGTCTTCATGTTGTGATCACTGGAGCTGTAGTTAATAGTGTTGTGTAATATTTTGTTCTGTGCCATTGAGCCTCTGAGCTTAAATCTCCTTTGAGATGTATGAGAGTTTCGCAGTTATTATTCAGGCTCTGTGTCAGCATAAGGGGCTATTTTGCAGCAATTGCACCTTACTCATATTTCTGATGGCCATATCTCATTATAGCTAAAATTTCTGGAGATTTTGCTCTCTGTTTTTCAGCAAAATCTGACAACTAATGAACAAAGGTGGCACTCCTCCAAAAAAAATAATTGCCAAGTTTCTGTAGGATGGCCTGGCATGTTAGTGACATGGCTTACAAAATCTGCCTCAAATGAATGGTTCTGTCTTTAATCTCCTGAACGTGTTGTCCGAGTGCGGTATCCCTCTGTGTACACTCATACACATCATTTGCACCATTTCTTGTGCTTCCATTTTATGTGAAAGGTTGTTAGGAAAGGATTTCTTATTGCATTTCTCTCATTTTCTTCTGGAGGTGGTGCCCAAGCTCCGTGTGCCGGTTCCTCATTTCTTGACAAGAATTCTACAGAACTGGTAAATTATTTTTAGAGGTCTCCCTCCAAAGCTGGGAGTGTGTCTTGGAAGTATACCAAGCATATGGAGGTCAGAGGAAGATTTTCATTTGGGGAGGGGGTGGTGTGCATGTGATGACACATCAGGAGCTTCATGTGGTCGTTATGAAGGTTTCAGACACAGTTGTGTCTGTGTAGGTGGGATAGGACAGTTCAGTAGGAATGATCCTGGCTCTAGTTGTCCTCACAGTTGTGATGGTGGGAATGAAGCAAAGTATATGGAAAGAATTGCAAAAAACCCCTTCCTGTTGCTGTCTGTTGAGTTGCATTTGTACATCTTTATCTCAGCTGCCGTTTTCTCTTTTCCGTAGGCTGTCTGTTGATGTATGTGAAGGTATAGCTTGTCTAAACATCAACATAAGCTGCTGGTGAGAGCTGCCCTCTTTGTTATTACAGTCCTACTGCTTTTAATGTCTAGAATATGAAAGATGGTTCTCTAAGAAAAATGAATCTCAAAGCACCTGTGAAGCACTTTGTATTGAATTCCTCCCTTCTGGCTATAGCTTGGGGTTTTGTGCATTTGTCTTGTTTTGCTCCCAAAGCTACCCAGGCTGGTGGCCTAATACAGAGTTTCATCAGTTCTCTCCCTGCATGCTGCTGACTGACAGTTTTCTATTAAGTACGTGGAAGTCTAACAACTGGAGGACAAAACTTCCTTTCCTTACGGGCCGTACTCGTGACTGATGACGTTTCTTTTAACAGTGCTTGGAATAACTGATTGCTGCTGCTCCTGCTATTTGTTCTCTAAGAATCACTTAGTACCATGCTCCCTTTACTAAAAATTTTCAACATATTTTTATAACTGTTACTGTTTCAGATAAATGGAGGAAACATGGGGATGATGCAAAGTCCTGGTAGACTGAAAAGGGAGAGGGGAAAAATCAAGAATAAGCTGGTAGCCACCAGTAGGTGTTGAAGGAAGAGCCTGTCAGTTCATGTGTTGAGAGTTTTTTCTCTCTCATTTTTCTATGAATACTTTTTGTTTTTGTGAATTGGCATTTTGGATGAAGACAGTGGAGGGACTGGAGCATCTGCCATATGAGGAGAGGCTGAGAGACCTGGGGCTGTTCAGCCTGAAGGAGAGAAGGCTCAGGGGGTCTGATCAGTCTGTCCAAATACCTGAAGGGAGGATGTAGGGAGACTGAGCCAGACTGGAGCCCAGCAGCAGGGCGAGAGGCAGTGGGCTCCAGCTGGAACGCAGGGAATTGCTCTTCAACATAAGAAAACACTTTTCTTTGAGGGTGACTGAGCACTGCCAGAGGCTCCCGCAGAAGCTGTGGCATCTCTGTCCATGGAGGTACTCAGCAGTCATCTGGACACCGTCCTGGGCAGCCTGCACTGGATCGCCCCGCTTGAGCAGGGGGGCTGCCCTAGGCCGTCTCCAGAGGTGCCTACCAACCCCAGTTATGCTGTGATTTTGTGGCAAAAAAAGTATCTGGAAAAATATTCTAACTGGAGAAATAGTAAAATTGTCCAAATTACTTGTTACCTATTTACTATTTTTTTTTTTTCATAATGAACTTACCAAAATTGTTTACATCAGTTTTTGAGAGCTGTAAGTGTGTCTTGTAAAAGACTGTGCAGTGGTGGTAATTTGAGTATGCAGCTTGGCTTTATATTGTCTTTTTACTGTTTTGTTTTCATTTTTATTTTTAATTACAAAGATCTTCTCTGAAATATTGGAAAAATGAAAATATGAGAAAAAGGACAGGCCAAGATGTGTTACTGCAGTAGCTTTGTTCTGTGGCTGCTTTGCATACAGCTTTGGACAGTTTGTTTTTGTAGTGTGCAGAACTGTGCCTGGGATGGCCATGACGCATGCAAAGATAATTTCCGAAACCTGCAGGGTTTTGTACAGTTAAAAGGATTCCTTTGTTTTTAAACACTGTGTATAGCTGGACTTGTAACTGGATGATTCTTCTGTTGATGAGTTTCTATATCTTTAGATAAAGCTCTTCAATTTTATAAAAGTATTATCTTTTTTTTTCTCCATTTTAAATATACATAAATGATAGATTTTTAACCAAATAAAATATAGCTATTACTGTATGCTCTAAAAGGGCAAATACACTCTTACAGGGAGGAAAGAGTCAAACTGAAAAGGGTCAAAAGAGAAGATAACACTGAAGGACTGGTGAGGTGTGTACGACAGTGATCCTGTGTCCAGAGAATGACACAGCACTCTGATGTGTTCTTTATATTGCAAAGGATAGCGAAGATATCCTTCCTCAGAAACCCCCAAACTGTTAACTATTAGCAATTGAATGGTTGTCTGATTAGAGGTTTGCAGTGAAGAGCATCTCCCTGCAGGAGTCCTTCCTTTGGCTGGTTTTGCAGAACTACATGGTTACAAAGAGTGTGGTCCTGAGCAGACAAGCTTTCATATCTTGGATGGCTCCATTTGTGGGTTGTGTCATCTCCTTTGCTTAAGACTGTGGTCCAAAAAAACTGCTTCTAGTGCTTAGTTGAATATAACAATAATGACTGTTATTATTTTTAAAACAAAGTGACCCAAAATAAGAGTTAATGCAGAGCATATACCATGTCAATCATAAAAATGTCTAGTGCACTGAACTTGGTGGCAGGGGGTTTTAACTGTAGATTTGTTCCCTATGCTGTGGAGTAAATTAACAAATTGGTTGTTTGATGTTAACAATGTTCAGTTGAGGAGAAAAAGAATAAAATTAGCAAAAACCATGCAGTAACTCTGATAGTATCAGCAGAACCATAAATTCACCTCATATAAAAAGGGGATTTGATACATCAGAAAAACATCATCCCCTCTGAATTGCTTTTTAATATCATACTAAACGGCTTTATAGTTTTGGACCAACACAATACAATTTCAGTTTTTAGTCTTGATTTCCATACTGAACATGCCTTCCAGTTTTTAACTGGCCCACAGACTATATTTTTAAAGGTAGAAAGTGGATAGGAAGACTGATGCTAAAGTGGGCAAGGACCTCCTGCCTGTAAGCTGATACTCACCATTTGCTGTTGGGAAATACTGCACTGTGCTGTGAAACAGTTAGGTAGGATTAGATCCAGAAATGTTGTTTTCATAAAACTCACTTAGGCCTGAACGGACTGTTTTCAAATTTAAAATTATTTTCATATTTGCCTAATTTATTTCAAATGTAAGTTCAGCTGTAGGCTGCTATATATGCGTAGCCTGTGCAGTCCCTTTTGCCTTAGCTTTACATTTGCACAACGTTCTGGTGAAGTACCTGAAGGTGCCTTTGCCCCTGCTGATAATTGGAATGGCATGAAGAACTTCCAGGTATTTACCTTTATGTTACTCAGTTTATTTGAAAATGATGTCAGCTCATCTGTACTGGGAATTTAGCAGTGACTTTTTGTGAGCTAGACCATGAGGTAGTATTTGGGGGACAGGGACAGCTGTCATAGCTACCAAGAATCAGAGACCCAGCTGCATCTCCACAGAGGCTCTTGCAACAAACCCCTTGGTTTAGGGTATGGGTAAAAGTGTTCCTTATTTCTCTTCCTGGTGGTAATTTGGCTGGCTTCAGTTGTAGTAATTTGGTTTTGTTTCTTAATCTTTTTCAGCTTGTACCTCCTTTTAAACCTCAAGTGACATCTGAGACAGACACCAGATATTTTGATGAAGAATTTACAGCTCAGACTATTACAATAACACCGCCTGAAAAGTGTAAGTGGGAAATTATGCATAAACTTGTCTTTAAAATGATCAGTTTGCGATAATAAAGTACTGTGTAAATGTGTTTTGATTAATTAGAAATCTCTTCTTGCCATTGGCAGTAAAAAATTTCTTAAATGTGTGCAAGAGTAACTCTCAGTGACAGTGTACCTTTAAAGTAAGAATAATTAAAAAGCTTTAAGTACATGATCAGTCAGCTTTTTATTTAGCTCACAAGTGGTTCCATAATTCTTTATTTTAGGGAAAACACTGGCTTCAAACATTGCCTGGTTGTCAGTAAGGGTCCCAGTTCAGCCAAGTGCTTAGAACACAAACCCCACTTTCAGCATGTGGGGACTGCTTCTAACTTCTATGGGTTATTTAAATTTTGAGTGCTAAGCATAATTTTAAATATTTTGCAGACCAAAGAAAGAGCATCAGCTGCCAGAGAGAAAAGTGGATGTCCCTTGTGTAAATATCCATTACATGAAAATGAAATTTACTTTCAATATTGTGCTTCAGCAGAGCTCTTAAAGAAGATATTAATAAAGATTTAATGTCTTCTGCAGACCTTGTTTGTTGGAGCTGAATTTAACTTCACTGCAGTTTTTATTTTTATACATCTTACGCTACATATACAGGAATCATGATCTGATCAGCCAAGCTGGGGCTTAACAAAGTTACTACCATGCTGGTGTTAAAGAGTAGCTAAAGTCCCGATGCTGAATTCCCGAACGAATTCCCTTCCTAAAAGAGATTGCATTTTAATTGGAGGTAGCAAAAGGATCATCATAAAGGTAGACAATAAATGGTGTAGGTGAAGTTGATCATGCCCTCATAAAGCTCGCTCATTTTTTGGTGTTTTAGAATTCAGTTTAGTTTTCTGTTGGTGCATAAATCAGGAGCTTTTTCTAGGTTTTTTTATTTTTAGTGTTAGAACGCAGCAATTTAAGTGATTCTAAGTCGTCCTGCTGTGAAAAAAAAAATCCTTTCCTTTTCCCATCTATCTCATTGAGGATTTGTTCAGATTTGTAACTTGAAGAGATTGTGTTTCAATTGGATTATTTTAGAGAGTATTGCAATATTGCAAAATCACGATCTCTTAAAACTTCACATATGCAATAAGAATGGCTATTTCCTTCTGAGGCTGCAGCAGCAGGAAATACGTGGCCACCGCAAAACATCCGCTTGGAATTTGTTGGCTTGGAGCAGGTGATAAATAGCGACGTGATCTTAAGCTACCTGCCTTGGCCTTGCCGTGGCTGCTGCAAAAATGCAACCCGGCTGCAACCCAGAGAGAGTGACCGAGTGGCTCCTGGGGAGCAACCGCTCACACACAGCAGCCCAAGGTGAATCCCCTCCTGTGTCATGTGGAACTGGGAAATGCTCTAAGTTTCAGTGAACTGCAGTGTTTCCAGGCCTGCATGAGATTTTTCCTTTTCTGAGATGTTGTGACAGGAAAAGAGATTTGTTGTGTAATGAGTTTTATTTTAAAATCTACAGGTAATTTACCTAGTATTGCCTGGAATATGAGATCATCTCTGCCTTATGTGATGATGCAGAACAAGGTTAAAATGGCTTTTAAGGACGGAGGGGTGCTAACCGTACCAGGAAGTTACTGCGCAGTAACAAACCTTGTCACTGACCTTCTGTAGCTACAGAAATGGCTTTCTTTTTTAGTTCACAAAGTTTTAAGAAAGTCAAACTAAGTGAAAATGGATAGGAAAAAGAAACAAACATGCCCTGTACACTAAGTTAATTTAAATACCTGGTGTAAAAGTTGTGTACAGTTGAAATTACAGAAACATGGAATCATCTTGTCAAGATGTCAAGATCAAGCAGCCTAATCATTACAGTTGCTCAAAAGTCTCCTACCTCTTGATTATAGGTGTAGAATATATGGAGATACAAACAAATGTAATTCTCCATATGTGTTCACTGTTAGAATAAGAGCTTCAGTTGGTGTCTTTAAGGATAAGCACAGTTTAAAAATCCGTGTGAGACTATAGATTCAAATCCTCAGAGTTAGGCAACATCTGGTGCCTAGTTTCCATTGGCACTGCAGGAATTATGTAAATAAAAATATTTATGAATTTGGCTTAGTCCATGTTTCCTGTGATCCCAGTAAATACTGTAAAAACAAACAGTTTACAAATTACTTTAATAATACATAGGAATTGAAAATGCATAGAACTTGCGTAACAGTTCATTTCTTAGGTATTCCTCCTTTTAATTCCATTCAGAAGGAAAGAATATTTAAATAATGCTGAAGTGAAAATATAATTTCCTGAACACAGCTTATGAAGCAATAAAAAATGTTTTGTTGCTTCAATCAACAAACGATTTGACAAGGTCTCTGTGCTGCCAGAAAACAGATATTCTGGCAAGTTTTGATTCGCCTAGGAAGGGTATTAATAATTGGAGTTCTCAGGTGAGTATCAAAATAAAAATTAAGAAAACCCTGAAGTAAATAATGACTGACTTAAAAATGGAGAAAATCAGCATTATCTTACTTTATGTCCATCAGCTTAAAGGTGTACTTGAATTTCAGTCTTAACTTCAGCACTGAACCCTGAGTGCTGTAGTGCTGATCAGGGGGATAATAAAATTTTGTTGCAAATGTAATGACCCTGAGCTTCTCCCTTACTTCAGATGACGAAGACGGAATGGACTGCATGGACAATGAGAGGCGGCCGCATTTCCCCCAGTTTTCCTACTCTGCAAGTGGACGAGAATAACTTTCTGTTCTGCTGCTTCACTGTCATCTTAGGTTTATCACTGAAAATGATTCCTGAGCATCACCACCAGTACTAGATATTATTTAAGATAGCAGGGGCACTTTCAGAGCTCATTCCAAATTGAACAAGGTTCTTTCCCAAATCTACCTAAAGTCCATTTTGGTTTCTGCATGAAATACGGTATTTCTGTACGCTCTCCTGCTGTTGCTGCTGCCCACAGTCTCAATACAACAGCAGCATCAAGAAGTAATTACCAATTTATTTGAAGGTAGATGACTTGACTTCAGCATTGTATATTCTGTGCGCAAATAGTCATCTACTTTTCCTCGCAGTGGAGGCTAAGCAGAAATTATGTTGGTCCAGATTATCTTCTTCTAGAAGATGAATCAAAATTGTAATTAGTCTAAAAAGACTAGTTTATAATACCTTCTTGGATCTGTCTGTGCTGGTTAGAACAAGGAAACATAGGGGTGGTGATGTACATATGCAAGGTTTTTGTTAGGCATATCATTACTTGAAGCAGGTCTCTGTCATTAACATCTGGCTGGAATTTGTTTGGAAAACATGAGAGAGAAGGACTTAAACTGTTGATATATATAAATATATATATATATTATTTTTTAATTACTGTTGAATACTACAGAAGAAGCAGAAGGGCTGGGCTCCCCCGGCCTGCCACCTAGAACTTCCAGGTTCATGTGCAATCACGGAGAATGGAACATTATACATGCAAGAAATGAAGGCATAAAAGCAGCAGTTGAAGTTGTTTAAGGGGTCTTATAATTTGCACCAGATAACATTCTTTTCATGCTTTTCTTTTTCTTTCATGATATACATCACCTCTGATGGCTGAAGAATGTAGACAGGCATAATGGTATTGCTTTTCACCAAAATATGTGCACCAAGGTAAACAGGTGTTTGCCTTATTTGTTTTCATTTTGAGTTTGTGAAATAGCTTTTTCTCCAGGTGTTTAACTCTGAATATTCTTTTTTTTTTTTTTGTTACACTGCAGTAGTACAGTAGTATTTATTTTTAGTGATAAGGATTGTGTGTGTCATGTTTGCAAATGCTGCTACATCTTAGGTAGAACAGGCTTACAGCAGTTAGTTTTATAATATATGGAAGGACTGTACAAGCTGAAGGGAATAATGCACTTTTCTCCCACGTGGAAATTTTAACAAGGCTCTGAAATTGTACATGTTGCTTAGAATCAGATTTTTGTGAATGAAATAATATCTTTTAATTCTTTGGCAGTGGAGATGAGGAGTTCCAACTTCATGTGCCAAAGGGTTAAAAAAAGATAAAAGGAAAAAGAAAAAAGCTACATCCTGTACTCCATTGAGGATTCACGTAATATAAAAGCCTGACAGCGCAATAGAAATTTCCATTTCTATAAGAAATGTGTTTGAACAATGAGACCACAGTGATTACAAGAAAAGCACTTTATTATAATAATTAAAACAGTAAACGTCTGGATCAGCCATCCTCAAGGAAGGATTGCCCTCAACCAAATAAGTCGTGAAATCCAGCATGTTGTGTGTAACCGTGGTACCTGATTGACCGAATTTAAAACATGACGAGCAACACTCCACTGATAGGAAAACGTTGTCTTTCCATTTCCCAAGAGCTGTATCTAACAGAATGTGTGCATAAACTTTAGCTTCGATCTTCAGCAATGATAATCTTAATAATAAACCCTTTGGTGCTAGGAGCTGGGCTATAGAAGTAGCTGCCAGTGAGTGCAGTCCTGGTGTGCATGTGCCCCTGCCGATGCCATCGGACAACCCTGACTCCATGGGATTATCATTTGAAGTATCTCCGTGTTCGTATCTTGTTAGCTCCCACAAAGACTGTGATATCACCGAGTATTACTGATCACATTGTGTGAGTGAGTAGATGAGTCTGAAAGGAGAAATGTTCATTCGCAGATGCCTTAGCCTCTTGAAGCTGAAGTTGAGTACCCTGGCATGAAAGCTACTGCTGGCAGTGCATGTGCTGGGACAATCAAGGGGTAGATGGGCATTACAGCGAGGCAGCTAAAGACGCAGACTAATTTAGACAATTTTTCATGTGTTGTGTTTTATCTTTAATAATGGATGGATAATCAGATATATATCATGATGTATATTCTAACTGCGTAGGATCTCATTCTGTCAGCTCGTAACACTAAATGCTCACGTGTAGAGATTGCTGCTCTGTGGAGACGGAAGGAGCACAGCAAATGCATTGGAGTCCGTTCTGCACTGCTCGTGCGGCAGCGTCCGCACTGAGGCAGCGAGTGACTGAAGTACCTGGTTACTGAATAGATGGGGCATTATTTAGTTCTCCGAAAAGGCCTCTCACATACAGACTAAAACTGCAGTGGACCAGAAGCTATGTCATATGCCTGTGGTTTTTTCCTCTGTTTTCAGCTTTTAATAGCAATAAACTTTGGGACACAGGACACCTATAGCTAGTGACCACGTGGAGTTGTGCCTCTGGCCAGCAGTTCCATGCGCAGAAGAAACCCTGTGGTTAGGTCGTCATTGCGTAGCTAGTTAGGTTGAAGCTTGCAGTAACTTTCTGTGGGTGAATTATTGGAAAACCCTTTAAGACTTCACTTTGCATTGTATTATCTGCCTTCCAGAATACTGTTATCAGGTTGATCTTATGGAGAGAGTTAATGTTCACTTAATGCTGCCTGGAGTTGGGAAATTCTTGTCTCTGCCACCAGTGTTAGAAACGGATGAGAGAGAAATTGTCATGCTGTGCTGAGAGAACCCTCTGATACTCTCCTCTGCTGTTCCCAGCTGTGGCCGGGTCTGGACAGTGCCTGGTGGCTGCTTCCCTCGAGCCTCCGAAGCACCACACATTTCAGGCTTTGACTCCAGCTTGTACTGACTTCCATGATGTACAGTATGCCCTCTTGTACTGCAGCCATCTCAGAGGAAATAGGTCATTTCTGTTTGGATTTTGGCAGTTTTGCACACAGCTTTGCTTTCCACACTAATTCATCTTCCAGTACATTCCTGTTGCTTAAAGAACATGTATTTCAGTATTGTTTCACTTTTTACTTTTTTTTTTTTTTTTCATCTTTATTTGCGGCTTCTTAAAGCTGACTGTTCTTGCAGGGCCATGTGCTTCTCCTAGAGTACAAAAGTAAGGTCTTTCCTTACTAACTGCAGGGTCTATATATTACACCTCAATGTACACACTTTGCTGCTACTGTTTGTACTGTCTACAGTAGAATTTCCTTATCTTGCTCCTGGTAGTGCTTTACAGGCAAGCATGAAATGTAAAGTATTTATTTAAATAAAAACCTCTAAATTGGTAATTGAATTACCTCCCTGTAGCTTTAGAGTTTGTGACATTTCTTGACCTTGCTAGTTCTTTCATTAGATCCATGCAAGATCTAGTCATATGGTTAAGGATATTAAGCAGACACGACTATGAACCCAAGAAACCGTATTACTGTTGGTCATACTTAAACTGTTTATTTCCTTAAGTATATGACCCACAAGGATGTGAAATAACTACAAGAAACTGTTTTTGTACACTGTACATCCTTAGTATTTTTACACGTATATGATAGGGATGCACATTATTTTCCTTCGTACAGACAGCTTAAATAAAGCACTATGTCAATCTGCTACATCTGTGTTTTTAATGCTAATTTTGTTCTAAAGGTTTGGAAATATATATATATATGTATGTTCAAGCTTGCCACAGAGGACTATTTTTTTACACGTGAATGTTACTATTAAATATCTAGAGGATAAAATTTCTAATGTTTTCCATGTGAGAGAAAGGAAGACCAAAATGAGAGGATTATATTGCAGGTTATGAGAGATTTCTTAAGTTTTGGGTTAAATATTTACTTCATATCTTTAAATAACTTTATGTAGATCAGATGCTTCAGTCCTGAAATGCGAAAAAATAATTAATTTCTTTGTATAAGGAAATGTAGATGATTATTTTTTATGGCTGTATATTTAATGATCTGTGCACATTTAAGTAGAGCTTTAATTTGCCAAGAAGACTTAGCAGTAACTGTAACTTGCTGTGATATATTTGCAATAGTGGGCAATCTTTTTTTAGTCTGTGAGTTTTAAGGTACAATATCACAGAAAAGAGTTCTTATGACAAAGCAAGACCAAGCATGTTTCCTACAGGTGCTTTCCGATAACATAAACGCTCTAAGGTAAATGTGGGTTATTCTTTGCAGATGGTGATTACACAGGGCCGCGTTCCTTTCACAACGCCCGGCATCTGTCATCGCATGACGTTGGTTGCCTCAAGTCCCATAGCTGGGCAACGTACGAGAGGAAGGAGAGGGAGAAGACGGGGAGGGCGGTTAGTGGGCACCTACGAGTGGCACGCGCTGGGCTAGGAGGTTTGAATGAGCCAGCCGGGAGGGCGAAGCAGCACTAGTGCGGGCGGCTCTCCGCTGTCCAGCCGGGCTCTCGGCCCCGAGCCCATTCCTGGAAAAGGGGCTGCTTGAGGCAGCGCTTCCCTTGCGCCGCCCACGGCGCAGGGCGGGTGTGTCGGGCCGTGGCCGTTGCAGTAACGGCTCTGCATGCGGCCTCTGCTGTGGCGCTTGGGGGAGGGAGGGCTTCACAGGTAATGCCCCGCAGTGGACGTGGTATTTTCTAGACGGGATATCTTAATCTGATATTGGAAGCTTTGTACAACTACGCACCCTGTGGCAAAATCAAAGGGGAGAGCGCAGTCTGGGGGAGATGTGGTGCCTGCAGTGGCCTACACTACAGTGCCTAGTGGCCTAATGAATAATTAACTGCCGTGAAGTAAAACAGCTTCTGTGGAAAAATTAATTCCTTCTACACTCCCTGCGTGCAGCAACCCAAGCCTACCCCTGGGATGCGGGAGAGCCGAGTGTGAAAACCAGTTTCCAGGTGTGCGTGCCTAGTGTCCAGCGTGTTTCAGTAGCATCGGGTAGATGTGGCCACTCGTGGATGCCGGTGCGCTGAACCCTTCCCCGTGGCACCACAGAGAGCCCCGGTAGGTGCTGTGGCTCAGGGCAGCTGCAAGGGCTGCGGCAGAGCAGCTCTGGGAGCTCACGCGTTGGTACCATGTCCCTGTGGGCTTTCAGCGTATGGGTCCTTCCTTCTAGTTAAGCAGTTTTCCACTGTGGAAAACAGCGCCACGCCTCGATTCCTACACGAGTCTCTCACAGCGTCACCTCACGGGGTTATTCTGCTTGGCACAGCAGGTAAAGCTGCTGCCTCGCCTTCTGCACGCACTTGTAAGCGGAAGCGCATTAGCTGCGTAGCCATCCAGGAGGTAGGGG